TGATAGTGACTGCGGTGCGGCCGATGGTATCAAGATAAGTTTTGTGCACATCGACCGTAGTCTCAACGATGGAGGACTCCGGGACATCGGCAAGAAGCTTGACGTTTCTATCGGCTGGTTAGCATCTGAGATTGAATAACAAATGGGGTAATGGATTGACATACTCGGCGCCCTCTGGCAAGAGAACTCTGACATTGATGTTCTCGTATTCGACACCCTCGGCCTGCTTAGGACCCTCAAGGAATGGTGCCTTAAAGACAAACCCACCAGTGGCAGTCTTCCTCACAAAGTTGGCCGCGTTGGAGTTCCAACCGATGGTAAAGGGGTACTTCCAGCCTCCAAAGATGGGGTATCTCGGCTTCAGCTCGAGAAGAGCTTCGCGCTTGTTGCTCCTGAATCGCGAGGTGGACACATTTCCGATCGTGTCTGTGAAGTACGTGTCGACGCTTCCAACCTGCAGGGGGAAACGCATCTCCTTAAGGGCGTGGCTCGCTGGGTTGAAATATTGGGATTGAGCCCACTTGACTCGGTTGAACTGGCTGGAAAGGTTTGCGCCTTGGTGGTGCAGGACGTATCGCTCCTCGAATGCGACGTTGCCGCCCCAGTGGCTGACTTCAATATCGCGCTCAAGCTCAGAGATGTGAGTAACGGGCTTGTTGAACTCGAAGCGGACTGAAGCTGGCAGAGATGCCCCAGCGGCCTTCTCGCCGAATGGTCCGTAGGTCAACTTGGATCCCTGCTTCTGGGGGAATTCGGCAACATCTCCGTGGCCTTCAACCTTGGTGTAATCGGGGATCGTTGCAGAGGCGGCCTTGACTTCTGTCTTTTGCTTCACGGTTGGGTAGGCAGACTGGGCATACGGCGAGAACTCGTAGCTAAGATATTGAGTAGCTTCTTGTGGGATCGATGCTGGAAGAGGCCTGTAGGCGCTGAGGTAGTAGAAAGTGATGCCAAGGGTTTGTTGGCCGCCAGACTTGAGGGGGGCGGGTAATCGAATTCGATAGTACTGCGTCGAGCTGTGCGAACACCCAATTAGCATTAATTTATGAGGGAAGAGAGAAACGAAGGTTCAATTGAGGGACTGAGGAAGCGCATCATACCTTGCTGAATCATAGTTCACAACGTCCACCGTAAAGGGTCCAGCGGCGGTATCCTTTCTGTCCTTGACTTCAAAGCCTCCGACTCGGCTCAGCTGGTCTGCGGTGAAGGGTAGGAAGTATTCCTCCTGAGGTTCCGCAGCAGTGTTCTCGATCAAAACATTGACCTGCTCCTTCACATAGTTCTTCTCGAGGGAGATGATATGTACCAAGTTGGCGTTCTTGAAGACTTGGGGCGGCTTGAAATCAGCAGGCAGCTTCACAGTCGATTGCTGCGAGCTTGCAAAGGCACTGCAAGCAAGGCCCAGAAGCGCCGTTGCGATGGTAGAGGGTTTCATATTTCCGAGCGAACGAGGGCAGCGCTCATTGATGAGATGCGCTGTGTGCAGGTGGGAGAAAGCTCAAGGAGAGGCTTCGTGCATCAAGTAGGATTCCACTAATGGGAGAGCTCTCGTTGAGGCACACGCAAGACACGTTGCCCATCTGGCATTGATTCCCAAATGTGGACTAGTTCGGTGTCGAGCTCACGTACCACAGACAGCGGTCTTATCGATAAGACGCGTCCCGGGTTTGATGGGAAAGTTGGAAAGTTCAAAGGGACCCAATTTTGGGACGGGTGAGTGGTTTCTGGTCGGGGAATATCTGGTCTCGCTGATTCGCCCAGCTCAACCGTTGCGCAGCATCTCTTTAATTAGGAGTATGTAAATTTTAATGGTAAGAAGCCTCTTATCACCACTTGGCTGACAGCCTCGTGCATTGGGGCCATTTGAAAGGGGTGTGTGGGATCCACTATCCAAGTACTACTCAGTATAGTAGACAAAATCAAACACCTTGATTTGGCCAGACTCTCGAAACTGCAGCGCAGTCTTAGATGGGGGTCACGGTAGCACCTTGGAGTTCATTGGCTCTACATTCCAATCCGCTGGGGAGAAAGCGTTGAGACTACCTTATCCCACAAGCAACTGAATAGAGCGCTGGCAGTAGCACTGGAATTAGTTGAGATAGGTACCTGCTCCCATGTATCGAGACTTCCAATTTGATGCTCTTGGTAACAAGGCAGTAGCTGGTCTATGACAGCGCCCCCATTGGCTGCAAGCGGCCCCATCCACGTAATAGTGACCAAGAGCTTTCCAATGTTCCTGACTTGGAAAACCCGCCTCTTGAGCAGGCACCTTACCCACCTGAGCTACCGCCATATATAACCTGTGAGCTCAGCTCGAGGAGAATCTTTTGTTGGGAGCCTCCAGCTGGACCAGATAAGCTCCTACAATCCTAATACACCGCTCACATAGCTCACCCCGAGCATCATCTTTCATCTTCATTCCCCTTGCGTGGTTACACTACCTGCGCCTGTTCTCCCATCAAAAATCTACCCCGCCGTACCCCGCGATCCGCGACAACTGATCACCATGGTTGGCTTGGGTCCTCGCCCTCCTCCCTCTAGAAAGGGTAAGTTGATGAAAAGCTGAAGTCGTTTCTTTTACCCATGTAGCTGTTCTTCTCACCTGCTTTGCCACAATTGATGTTCTGTAACGTACCGAGAATGTCAATTTGCCAAGGCTCACCTGACCTTCTTAAAGGAGACGGTGAGAGGCTTGCTTTTTACACACGATGGCAATCACGGACCATAATGAGCCCGCATTTCATATGAACATGACGGACTCATTGCTTCCGCGATTCGCCAAAGACTCTTAGAGCCGCCTGTGAAGAGCATTTCGTGTCACCAATGTTTGCCACCTGGTTAAGCCACCGATTCATCCGCCTTGACACCATCTTTGTCGAAATCTCCAAGTGAGACAAAAGTGAGAGGAGCGACGGACCCCGTGCTTAAAAAGAGCGTTTTCTCCTGCAAATGTCATCGGATTTATTCAACAATTCAAACAAGTAATGTTCGCTTAGACAGCCAGCTGACGCATCAACATGACAGGTTCCAAGGCGGAATTTCCTAAGGATCTCCTGGCACAGATCAAGTACATTGAGGAGATTTTCACAGTTGAAACTCCAAAGCTCAAGGAGATCACTGATCATTTTATCAATGAGCTTGCCAAAGGTACGCTGGTTGGAGTATAACCCCGACCGATTTAGAAAATACTAACTGGGTTGGATGCAGGACTCAGCGTTGAGGGGGGGAGCATCGTAAGCTTTCGTTGTCTGGAAAATATTTGCGTAACCTAACAGTCTGGTACTAGCCAATGAACCCAACTTGGGTCATGTCCTACCCCGATGGATACGAGACGGGCACATTTCTGGCCCTCGACATGGGTGGTACGAATCTAAGAGTTTGCGAGATCACGCTGACGGATCAGAAATCGGAGTTTGATATCATCCAATCCAAGTACCGTATGCCCGATGAACTCAAGACAGGCAGCAGCGAAGAGCTTTGGGAATATATTGCCGACTGCTTGCATCAATTCGTCGAGACCCACCACGGCGACTGCAGCAAGCTGGAATCGATGCCTCTCGGATTCACCTTTTCGTATCCGGCTACCCAGAACTACATCGATGAGGGTATCCTTCAACGATGGACCAAGGGCTTTGACATTTCCGGTGTCGAGGGCCAAAATGTTGTACCCATGTTCGAGGCTGCTCTGGCTAAGCGAGTATGTTGACTGAAGCAAAAAAGAACCATCACAAGGACAAAATTGACAGAAAAGCAGGGTGTTCCCATCAAGGTGACCGCCTTGATCAATGACACTACTGGTACACTCATCGCCTCTGCCTACACCGACACCAAGATGAAGATTGGATGCATCTTCGGAACCGGCTGTAATGCCGCCTACATGGAGAACGCGGGCTCCATTCCCAAGCTCGCCCACATGAACCTCCCACCTGACACCCCCATGGCTATCAACTGTGAGTGGGGAGCTTTTGATAACGAACACAAGGTTCTGCCACGAACTCCATATGACCTCATCATTGACCGTGACTCCCCACGGCCTGGACAGCAAGCCTTTGAGAAAATGATTGCCGGATTGTATCTTGGAGAGATCTTCCGTCTCGTGCTGGTAGACTTGCACGATAACAAAGATATCCACATCTTTGAGGGTCAAGACATTGCTGCGCTCCGAAGGCCTTACAGCCTGGATGCCTCATTCCTGTCGGCCGTTGAAGAGTGAGTTTCTCTCCACATTTTTTCTCCATCTCAGGCAACAATGGATTTCTAACATATAATGAAGGGACCCATTTGAGAATCTTCAGGAGACGTATGACAGTTTCGCCGCAAGGCTCAACATCAAATGTACTCTCCCCGAGCTTGAATTCATCCGCCGACTTGCTGAGCTGATTGGCACACGCGCTGCTCGTCTCTCTGCATGCGGCGTGGCTGCTGTATGCAAGAAGAAGGGATACCAGTCGTGCCACGTGGGTGCAGATGGCTCTGTGTTTAACAAATACCCCCATTTCAAGGCTCGTGGTGCTGTGGCCCTGCGGGAGATTCTTGACTGGCCTGCTAAATCAAACCCCAAGGAAGAAGATCCCGTCGAGATTCTAGCCGCCGAAGACGGTAGCGGTGTTGGTGCCGCCCTTATTGCCGCCCTTACCCTCAAGCGAGTCAAGGAAGGCAATATGGCTGGTATCCTGCACCCTGAGAATTTCAAATAGACTACGGTTTTCTTCCGATACTATGACCCGGAATATTAGGGATACAAGAACGAAAAACAATGCCATAAAATGAAAACCGAGACAGAAGATAAATAAAAGAAGAAGAAAACAGAGCAAGTTCAGTCTGCAGCTAGATTGCCCCCTTATGACTGAATCGACACATGTATTTGAGCACATTAGCGTGATAGCTAGCTAGACATTGTGAGCTTAATTGCTCGTTTTTAACTCTCTCACATTTTCGGTTTTCTTCTTCATTAATCATATCTATAATTTCCTTCTTTTGTGAAAACGTGGCAGGTTTCACTAGCCCATGAACGTGAAGACCGGGAGCTTGTATTCTGGACGTAATTAGCACGGGGTTTCCTGAAAATGAAATAGCGTAAAGAACGTGGGACTTACTGTCAAGTGTCCAGTATCGTCTACGAACACCCTCCCACTCTCCCTTTCCAGCTTCGGCGAGGGTGGACATATCGACATCAATCTCTTGCCATGAAATGTCGAAACCAGCCTCATTTCCATGCGCTTCCACCACATCGATGTAGACATCATAGCATATCCTTCTATCCGCGCCAAGGCCATTGAAGAAGCTGAACCGGCCCTCTTCATCCAATAGGCCTAAGAGGTATTCGGAAAAGAACGTACGTAGCTCCGAGTAGTCTTCCCCAAATGTGTCGAAATAGATGGCGTCGTACACCTCTCCTTGCTCTAGGAGTTTGAGCACCACGTCCTGCCATTTCCCTGCATGAATCTTGTAGGCGCCCTCCTCGGGCCCGCTCTTCTCCCAGCTGGGACCGAACTTGGAGTCCGGTTTTGCAACGTGCTCTAGAACGGCGGGATGGGCCTCGATGACGTGGTGACGGGAGGGCTTCAACTCGGCGAACATGCCGTCGATAATGCCCATTCCGAAACCAATGTTCAAGATTCGCTTGCCGGTTGGAGCATCGGGCAGCAGAGCGGCTACAGAACGCTTCATGATATCGGTCTCCCAGGCCATCATCACACCGTTGAGGTCCGAGTCGACGAGTTTCCCATCGTCGTAGGTCAGCTCAGACTTGAGGTACTCGTCGCTCGTTACCGTCTTCTCGTGATCCTCTGGAGAAACCAACTCGGTCTCATCTGCCTTGACGGTGACCAGCTGAGGGGCTTCATCCTCGACGTCCATGGCGTCTCCGTCATCTTTGGCCCCAGCGGCGGCTTGCTCCTCCCCGTCCTCTGAGCCCAGGAATTCATAACCCGCAGTGCCGGACAGCAGCAGTTCTGTTTGGGCGCCTTTTATAACAAACATCTCATACAAAGTTTCTCGACGTAGCCTCAAGGCCACGCAGCCAGGAGTCTCATCGTTGTTGTCAAGGGTGTTCCAAATAGCACCAGACTCGAATAACTCCTGGATAATTTCTCTTGCCTCCTCTACGACGCCGTCTTCCTCTTGTTCGCCGCTATCCTTGGTCTTCTCAGCGGGGCCGCAGGCGCGGACGGCAGCATGGAGAGGTGTCTCTTTCGTCTCAGGGTCTTGGACATTGGCAATAGAGCGCTCATACTCATAGTCATCATCGGGGTGCGCCTTAAAAATCTTTTTTAATTCGTCAAGATCATGGCCCCATGCATTGTAAAGAATGTGTCGGATATCATCAGGACACTCAGCGGAAATCCGCGTTGGCATGGAGTCATCGATTGGTTTTGCCATTTTGCCAGTATACCGGATGCTTGTCTGGTATTATTGACACCCGCACGTGGTGGCGTAGGTTGTGGAAGTTTTTTTTCTGTCTCCATCTCCACCTGGGTTCCTCCAAAATAGTGTCCAACCTATAGCAATGAGAAGGAGCAGTGCAAGCCCCAAAAAGCTTGACTACGAATACCAAGAGAGCTTCTGACTACCTAATGAACCAAACCACGATGTTTTGAGGGTCATTGCCGAATAATTGAGCCAAATTGCCTCAAGAGGTGGCCGGGGATTCCCAGTGCCAGAGGTATGTAGAGCGAGACATGGCAATTGCACTTGCGACTCGATAGCACCCCGCGCCTGTCCATTCTCGCTGTGTGATTACTACCAGTTTGTTCTGCCCTACGTCGACAATTCCAAGTTCAATGGTAGGGAGTAATTACTAACAGCCTCAGGGCTTGATGTACGGCAAGCAGCTCCAGGAGCTGCCGCCTCCACCGGGAGCACACGAAGCTAAGGCAATAGTGGGCAGGGTGGACTCGTTTATGGGCGCGACCAGGTCTCCCTTCACGTTGCCCTGGCATCTACAATGATTCGCCAATGCACGATCCGCCCTAGAGCTGTTCGGGCGCAGGTACCGTGGTAGGCGAGGCTAGCGACGCCGGTGGAGCTGTGACGAACTCCTTGCAAAAGATCGGGTGCACATCCATTCGTATCAGCTGTTGGCAATCTTCTCGTACATAAGGGACTCACCTGTGTGTTGACAGGAACTGCGGCGCGATTGATGAGGAGATGGTGGGCTGGGATGTACCAATTGCGGTGCAAGTCTTGAGTTACGAATGTAGGTAGGTAGGTAGTTGATAGCTGTAGCAAGCCAAAGCTTGTTGGAGCGATCCAGGATCTATCTGGTAGGAGCTAGTCAGTGCTCAGTGGGGTTCGCGACTTCCCTTCAAGACCATGGCCTTGCACTAATAACCGACCTCGTTCGCTTGTCGCATCGTCCTTCCCTTCACTTGCTTTCTGGAACACCTCATTCCAAGGCAAGGTCTGGCTTGATCCCTTGCGACAAACCAGCTCTGGTCAAAAACACATCAGGTGAGCACTTTCCTTTTTTGCAGCTACCCGCGTCCCATTCGTCATTGCCCTCCGACATCGAGCCGCCCCGGTGCATGTGCAGTGCAGTGCAGTGGGTAGCAGAGGGCAAAAAATCGGCCCCGGGTCGGAAAATACGAAAGAAAACATCGCTTCATTCACTTGAAATCAACTGACAGTTTATGCTATCGGCCACTGCTCGACAGTCCCGCTAACGCCTGCCAATGCTCATTGTTCAGGACCTGAAAACACGCAGTAAAACTTGGACAACGTCCCGATCAGAGACCGTCCCGGTCAGACCTGGTGTCGTCGTCATGAAGTTCGGAGAACAGCTACGATCGAGCGTCATCCGCGAGTACCAATGGTACTACATTGACTACGATGGCCTCAAGCAGGAATTGAAGAATGCCACCGGCCCTCCGCTCCCAAGCTCGGGCCTTGGCCACGAGTGGACCGAGGAGGACGAGACGCGCTTCGTCACCAAGCTAGAGTCGGAGCTCGAGAAGGTCCACACCAAGCAGCAGGTGAAGGCCATGGAGATCTCCCGCCGAATCGCCGTCAGCGAGCGCGAGGTCAGGGAGGTCGTCAATCGCCTGAACGAGCGTGGTCTTCGGGAAGATGGCCCTACTGAGGAGGAGTTCATGCTCCTCGAGGAGGATCTCAGCGACGTCATCGCCGATGTTCACGACCTTGCCAAATTCGTTCAGCTCAACTACACTGGGTTCTCGAAGATCATTAAGAAGCACGATGTAAGTTTGGCCAGATCTCAATTGATTTCTTCCCGCTACTTTGTTGGCCGTGTCTAACAATCGAACAGAAAACCACCGGCTGGCACCTTCGACCTGCCTTTGAGAGCCGACTCAAGGCAAAGCCGTTCTACAAAGAAAACTACGACGCATCCGTTATCAAGCTTTCGAAATTATACGATCTGGTTCGAACGAGAGGTAACCCGGTCAAGGGCGATAGCGCTGCTGGTGGTGGCCAAGCCAGCTTCATCCGACAGACGACCAAGTATTGGGTGCATCCAGATAATGTGACTGAGCTCAAGCTCATCATTCTTAAGCATTTGCCCGTTCTGGTCTTCAACGCCAGCAAGGAATTCGAGCAGGCAGATTCGGCCATTACGTCCATCTACTACGATAACCCGGATACATGGGATCTATATGAGGGCCGACTCAAGAAGACTGAAGGTGCCGAGGCAATTCGTCTTCGTTGGTATGGTGGCATGCAGAATGACACCATCTTCGTTGAGCGCAAGACTCATCGTGAGGACTGGACTGGCGAGAAGTCTGTTAAAGCCCGTTTCGCGATGAAAGAGAAGAATGTCAATGCCTACATGAAGGGTGAACTCCTCCCCCCTGCCATTTTCGAGAAGGCTCGTAAGGATGGTAAGAAATCCGAGAAGGCAATTGCCGAAGATGAACGACTGGCTTCAGAAATCCAATATTCAATCCTCCGGAAGGGCTACAAGCCGGTGTGCCGTTCTTTCTACAATCGCACGGCTTTCCAACTTCCCGCCGATGCGCGAGTACGTATCTCCCTTGATACCGAGCTTACCATGGTCCGAGAGGACAACCTTGATGGCCGCGCCCGAAGCGGCAAAAACTGGAGGCGAACCGATATTGGAATCGATTTCCCCTTCTCTCAGCTGCCCCCCGAGGACGTGGAACGATTCCCGTACGCAGTTCTCGAAGTCAAGCTACAAACCCAAGCTGGACAGGAGCCTCCCGAGTGGGTTCGTCAGCTCATCGCCTCCCATCTTGTAGAGGCAGTTCCCAAATTCTCCAAGTTCATTCACGGCTGTGCCACACTCTTCCCTGACAGGATTAATCTCCTGCCCTTCTGGATGCCACAGATGGACGTCGATATTCGTAAGCCTGTGTCTCATAGCTTCGGAATTCACCGTCCGGGTCAATCTGCTACGAGCACCTCAGATGACGCCGACGATGACTTCGACTCTGATGATGAAGATATCCAACCCCCTACCGCTGTGGTCGCTCGCGGCGGAGCATCTAATGAAGCTGGAAGAGTCGATGACGAGGGCCAGACCGTGGAAGTTGCTGGGAATGACGACTATATCTATGACTCGGATGATGAATATGACGAAGGCTATGAGTTGGAAGAGGCTAGACGTGCGGGTGGGCTGCACTATTACAAGAAGCTCGCTGCTGCCAAGGGCCAGGCCTTGGGCCGGGGCGCATTGTATGTCCTAAAGGCATTGATTCCTGCTCCCCGTGCTACGCAAGTGGACCGCAGCGTCAGGCAGGAGATGCTCTTTGGTAACGGCCCCGTTCACAGCAAGAGGTTCAAGGCGCCTCCCGGCAAGAAGATTTACGTGCCTGTGCGTGTCGAGCCGAAGGTATACTTCGCAGCTGAGCGAACGTTCTTGGGCTGGGTAAGTTCAATCGCATTCATGCCATCTACTCGAATGTAGATGTAGGCTAACTGGTGCTCAATAGCTCGAATATTCCATCTATATCGGAACCATTGCCGTGACGCTTCTTAACTTCGGAACCAGCACTTCGGTAGCCTCATTCTGGGTCGCTGCTCTGTTCACGCTGCTTGCCATTGGAAGCCTGCTTTACTCGGTAGGTACTTATCTCTACAGAAGCCGGTCAATCCGAAACCGCAAGGCCGCCAAATACTACGACCGCTGGGGCCCGACGGCCCTCTGTGTCTCACTCTTCGTGGCGGTCGCCCTAAATTTTGTGTTTGAGGGACGGGACAGGGAGTTTTGGTGATTGGTTTGTTCAAGCCCATTTTGTATATATTTTTTTCGATTGCAGATTGTCCTGATTTCACCAAATTGTCGTCGACAAGTTTCCGTCTGTGTCGCATGATGGGGCTGTTCCTTTCTTGTGGTAAATGGAATGTATCACTATGGCCTTTTATGTGTTATATCATAATAAATTCTAGCAATGTTTGTGTCTCTATACCGTCTACGTTTTGACGCCAGATAGGTGAACATTTGATCAACGGTTCAAGGTGACTTCAGTAAAGGCGGGGTGTCTCCAGCAATGTTTCAGTAGCCGCTCACGTAAATGGAGCCCCGCTGACAATGTAGTATCCGGGCTGTGGGAGCTGGAGATTTCGAATAACCGCCATAGTCTTCCAAGGAACCCCCATGTCTTTGCGGCTTGCTGCGAGCGTTATGCTGGCACATAGCCACCGTTGCATGCCTTTCGATGGGTACTTTACCAGCCATTAAACATCTTGCAATGATCTTAGGTATATAGCCAGGTGCTTGTCTAAGGACATCATATTTACCTAGACACTCTAACCTCACCTCCGGACGTCTACGACAAGTTTCTCATCAGCGTTGTAGTATCTCATGGTGGCATTGGCAGTCATAAGGCCCAGAATGCGGCCGGGTGGAGAGGGAGGCTTCGCTATGCATATGACTGCAGGCATATTACGCCTCGTAGGATCAGTAGTAAGACTACACGAAGAAATAGATATATAATTGCCCCTGAGAAAAACGTCTTTAATTAGGTAGGATCTCATCACTTCCGCCCAATGTACCGTCGCATACCGTGCTTGAGAGCTTTATTAGTGCTATCCTTTCTGCTTCCAAGATATCATCAGGAGTCTACTTGAAACTCCTTGCCAGGTATGTCATCTGGTTCAACTTCTGTAGATCAGATGGGTTGGACCGGTGCCATCGCATCTGCAGCTTACCCAGCTGGAGTCACGATCATCGTTTTACTCCTTGGGCTCCTACTTGCTCTTCCACGATGGAAGCTTTTCGCGATATCTTCTCCAATTATACCACCTGCCGCTCCCATGTGCTACAGAATCCAACAAATCCCTGCTACAGTGACAGAAACAGAGCTTCTAAGCCAGTTGGTCGAATCCATTCCAGGCTTTGACAGACTGGACTCGGCAAGGCTTCGCTTGAAGATTGCACGTTCGTTCGGACAGTCTCGCACCGCAACGTTCATTTCAGCCAAGGCTCCAGAGAATCTAGGATATCACCTCGACAAAAATTTCTACGGAACAACCCTTTTATACGAGGGGGAGAATGCCACCGTGGAGTAAGAGGAGTGGCGCTTGACCGTCCGCACCAACACTTCAATACTAATGTGTGTATAGCATCATTGCGGTTCACGGTTTAGGCAGTCATGCAATTGGTGGATTTCAAAATAAAGAAACCCAAGCAGTTTGGCTACGTGATTTTCTACCCAAAGATTTCCCGAATAGTAGGATTCTTGTCTATGGGTATGGCTCAGCTATCACCGATCAAGACAGTAAAATCTCCATCGAGGGCCTGGCGAGATCCTTTCTAGACTCCTATAAGGCCTTCCGACAAACGACAGAGGTACGGTGATAAGATCTGCTTCTCAAAGAAATTATTGGGGATTTGACATTCGGCATCGTAGACCACACAGAGGCCGATGATTTTCATTGGCCATAGCTTGGGAGGGCTTTTAATCAAAGAGGTATGTGTATATTTACCGCTGGTTACAGCCTCAATACTTTACTAATTCATGATATAGGCCCTCATCTTGGCAAATCAGGATGACAAAGACCGTGAAAATAGCGACTTCTTCAAATCCGCATCCGGATTGATGTTCTTTGGTGTCCCGAATATGGGAATCAATCTGGGAAAGCTACGAGAGATCACCCGCGGCCAACTCAATAACCAGTTAATAATGGATCTTCAACTTGATTCGGAATCGGAACCAACTCCATACCTGAAAACACTACTAGGAAGGTTTAGAAGCTGTCACGAGAAGCAAGATCCGCCAATGAGAATTATCTCTTATTATGAGGGCAAAATGACCGATACCCTAAAGGTACGTTTACAGGCGTTTCTTCTGCTCGAGCCACAATTGAATAGTAGCTTGCTGACAGAAAATCTGACCAGGTCGACAAAAGTGGCAAAATATCAAGAGGAGGGCATAAGTGTTTTATGGTGACAGAGGAATCCGCGTGTCAGATCGGGTTTTTAAACAACACACACGATAGGCTGCCTTTGCCTTCCAATCATTCAAACTTGGTAAAGTTCTTGAATGAGGCAGATGACAGCTACGTAAGAGTACGGAACAAGTTGCGAAGACTTATCGAAGAAGGTCCGGATGTTGTTTCCAACCGATTCATGCCCCCTACCAGTATGTAGAAATGCCAAATCTCGAATCGAGTCAGCAATTTAACATCTCCATCTAGAGCTTTCGTCAGAAGAGAAGCGACACTGGGATGACTTGAACGTTCCTGACTACCGAGCCTTTTACAAAAGCGGGAAACTAGCGAGGCCAACTGAAGGGACTCTTCAATGGCTCGTGCAAGAGGCCCCTGCTGAAAAGAATCCTTCTCCATACCAGTACGATAAGTACCAGCGTGATATTCACTGCCTGCGAGCAACAGATTTCGAAGCCTGGCAAAAGAATCCCAAGCCATGTGCACTGCTAGTACTCGGGCCACCTGGGCAAGGCAAATCGGTATTGTCAAATTTTATAGTGTCACACCTCCAGCAGCAGCAATCCACCAACAAGAAGAATAGTGTCAAAGTGATCTACTTCTTCTGCAATATCAAGGACGATAACTCGAGAACTGCGTCTTCTGTTCTTCGGGCACTGATAGTGCAGCTATCCGAAGACCAAAGACTATTTCAGACTCTTCCCAACCGATTTCAAGACCCTAAAGAGTATAGATCCTTTCATTCGGCTGGGTTCTATGACCTGTGGAGCACTTTTCATGATCTAGTGTCCTTGAGCCCATATGATTGGATTTACTGCATCATTGATGGCTTGGACGTGTATCCAGACCCGGAGATGAGGGCCCTGCTGCAAAAATTGCACGACATGATCCAGGTCAAGACGGCATACCGGCTGAAGCTGTTCTTTACCAGTCGGCCAACTGGTCCTGTGGATATCTTTGCAGCTGAACTAAGACGAAACCTTCGACCGCCTCAAAAAGATATAAAGACTTTTATCGAGTCGCAGGTTGGGTCATTGCCTGCAAAATTCAAGAACTTCAAAAGAGAAATAGTGGACTCTCTTATGAATTTTGCAGGAGGTACTTTTCTTTGGATACATATTGTATTAGGGGAGGTCCAGAAACTTCGGTACCCAACCAGTATTTTGGTCCAGGCAACAATAAACCAAACACCACGTGAGCTCAACGAGTTATACATGACCCTTATCCAGACCGCGTTCAAAGACGACCATGATAAGGCCATTTTGGCCTGGGTAGCCTATGCTAAAAGGCCACTTTCTCTTGAAGAATTGGAAATGGCTGTGGCTGTTATGGTTACGAATGCAAACAGCTTATCAGAGTGCAATAATCAAAAGGCTTCTTTGGATAGTGACTCCATCCATGAAAAGCTGGGAGCATTGGTTGATATTATTGATAACAACCTCTATTTAATCCATCAGTCGTTACTGGATTTTCTAAAGGGCCAGCCGGAAATATGGGAGAAAGGAGGCCTCACACTCAAATTTCAACGACACCCGAATATCGAATTAGGGAGGACGTGTCTAAACTATTTAAGTTTTGCCGATTTGACCTTCAACGATAAATCCGACCCTCGCTTTCCGCGTGTTCTGCTTTTCCCTCATTACGCTTCTAATCATTGGTATGAACATATACAGAGCGCCGAGGACGTCACGGACGACAGGGAAAAGCTGAAATACGCATTAAAGGGCCAAAACAAGCTGTTTTGGCTAAACAGAAACACTCGGTGGGAGCAAAGGGCTTCCCAGAGAGGTCTTTTTCGTCCACGTAAATCATTATTCAGCATATCCCTTGTGTTGGATATTGACTGGCTGGTACGAATACTGATAGATAACAGTATACCGGAAATCTCGGAGATTTTAAAAGAAAGCGATCTGATGATAGCAGCCGAAGGTGCACCAAAGGTGCTTCAAGAGCTGCTACAGGATAAAGACGCTTTACCAGAGGTCAATATAAGAGCGGACAAACAAAAGAGCAACAACATTTTAAAGATCCTCGTGGAACATAGAAGTGATGAAGTCAAGATCACGGAGAATGTGCTTAGGGCAGCAGCAAATAATTTCAGAAATGGGAAGGGGCTTCTCGAGCTACTACCAGACGAAAGAGGCGATGAGGTTCATATCACGGAGAAGGTGCTTATAGCAGTAGTAACGAATCAAATCAATGGGAATGAGCTCCTAGAGCTACTGCTAGAGGAGAGAGGCGATGAGGTTCAGATTACGAAGAAGGTGGTTATGGCAGCAGCATTAAATCTCAATCATGGGAAAGAGATCTTAGAGCTACTGCTAAAGAAGAGAGGCGATGAGGTTCAGATCACGGAGAATGTGGTTACAAGGGCAATGATAAACTTCAAGGATGGGAAGCGGATCCTAGAGCTGTTGCTAGAGAAGAGAGGGGATGAGGTTCATATCACAGAGAGGGTGATGCTAGAAGCAGTAAAGAACTGTTTTCAGGGTGAAAAAATCCTAGAGCTACTGCTAGAGAAGAGAGGCGAGGAGATACAGATCACAGAGAGGGTGATTCTAGAAGCAGCAAAGCACAGTTATCAGGGTGACGAAAAGATCCTAGCGCTACTGCTAGAGAAGAGAGGCAATGAGGTTCAGATCACGGAGAAGGTGGTTAGAGCAGTGATGCGGTTTAAATCAGGGAGGAAGTGGTTCCAGCAACAAGGCATCGAGGTTGAGAAGGTCTCAAAGCTTCCACGAGGAAGAGAGGTGATAGGCAGATCACATAGTCCAGGCCTAGGGTCAATGGAATGAAAGTATGACCCCGGCCCTTGATGTGGTATACATGTACGTCCTACTTGAAAGCCATCGACCTACGGATCGAGAATGAATGATTTGGGTAGAGTAAGGAACGACGTTGGCTATATTGGGACAATCTTGTGTTGACCATGGCGAACTCATCGAGAGCATTACTAAAAATTTATACCTGACTGATACCAAGTTAAAGATTCATGTAGTGAGGAAAACATTTCCCACAATCTTATCAGGTTTCCTTTCTTCTTTTTTCCTTTTTTTCAATAAGACGGTACATAATTATGTGTAGGGATACCTCAGTCACCATCCCGAGAGCGGGATCGGCCGTGAGGGATAACTGGAGCCGTGATGGGGAAATGGGGCACCACCCCGGTGTCGCTGCATTTATACAAGCTGCCTGCAACCATATATTCCGTGCGTACAGGACTGACTGAGAAGCAGAACCGAAACTCGTCCGTACATAAAGGATAAAATGGTGGTGCTCAGGCCTCAGTCCGAGTTTGGCCACGCGCCTCCTCCACAGACTCCCTACAGCATCATCAGCAACCTCGGCACTTGGGAGGAGAACAGGCTCTTCCGCGAAGGAGACCCCGAGACTCTCAATCGCCTCGTCCATATCTATCCTCGTCTGAAACCTACACACTACGCTGCCCGGGTAATCGCTCCCCCCTCCCTCCTTTCCGTCCTGTCATGTTCAAGTGTGCATGTACACGGTTGACGAGAGCGAAGTCGTTGGATGGAAAGCTAACTGTCGCCTTTCTTGGCCTCATGATGTATAGCTATGCGATGAGATTGGCCGCGTACTGGGGGCCGAGCATCTGGGCGTCCACATGTACCTGAACCCGGATCTCTGGCCCTTCACCAAACGACACATCACTCTGCCCCAGCGCCGTACCAAGATCCTGAAGCCGGAAGATGTTTCCTTGCGATGTGTCGACGTAGCCGGCCACAGGCTGTATGTCGTTCTCTATGCCAAGGAACATGCCGCCGGTGTCTCCTTGGCCTGGGCCATGCCCGGCCTCGGTCTGTCCATCCGCGGCGCCGAGCAGCTGCTCGAGGGTGTGGGCGAGATGCGCGAGGTCGCAGTCGTCGATGGGCAGGTCCCCGAACCGACTTGGACGCCCGAGACGGAGGCCCATCAAGGCGTGAAGAGCCGTATCATCGAGCTTCTCCATCACGCCGCTATTGAGCCTAGCAAGATCCAGGCCACGCCAAAGGATGTGTTTCTGTATCCGACCGGCATGGGTGCCATCTTCCACGGGAACAGGACCATGCTCAAGTACCGCCCTGGGGCCATTGTGGTCAGCGGTGTCATCTTCCACAACTCGTACCACCACTTGATTGAGGAGTGTCCTCATGGCTTCAAGCATTTCGGGAGATTTGATGACCCAGGAATCAGCGAGCTCGAGGCCTGGCTTGAGTCGGAGAAGCAGGAAGGCAGGGCGGTAAGCTATCTGATCGTCGAGTTCCCGGCGAATCCGACTTTGGAGACGCCTGATATTGCACGGATCAAGAGACTGGTAAGGAACAAAACCATGACATAACGACCAACAGTTCTAGTGACAGTGTTGCTAAAAACCTCCATCCAAACCCGTAGTCTGAGAAATATGGCTTCGTCCTCATCGGCGACGACACCGTAGCCGGCTTCGGCAACATCGACATCTTCCCCCAGTGCGACGTCCTCCTCACATCCCTCACCAAATCATTCAGCGGCCGCGCCAACGTCATGGGCGGCTCCATCACCCTCAACCCGCTCTCCCCGCACCACGCCGCCCTCTCGGCCCTCTTCGCCTCCTCGCACCGCAACGAGCTCTTCCACGGCGACGCCCAGACCCTGCTCTCCAACTCCAGGGACTTCTTCGAGCGCACCGGGATCCTCAACCGCAACGCCGAGGCCGTCGCCGCCTTCCTCCACCAAAAGGCCCTCGACCCTGCCTCCCCCGTCGTCAACGTCCAGTACCCCACGGTCTCGCCCAGCAAGGCCCTGTACGACACCCACAAGCGGCGTCCCTCGCCCGAGCTCCCCGAGCCCGGGTACGGCTGCCTGCTCACCGTCGAGTTCGACGGCGTCCCCTCGGCCAGCGCCTTCTACGACCGGTGCGGCTTCTACCCGGGCCCGCACCTGGGTGGCCATGTGACGATCCAGTACGCGTACAACATGGCCGTCTTCGGGAAGCACGCCGAGGAGCTGGCGTACTTTAGGGAGTTTGGCGTCAAGGAGGAGGCGGTGCGGATCTCCGTGGGCTTGGAGGATGTGGAGGATCTTATTGACACGCTCAAGGATGCCTTGGAGGGTATTCCTGCGGTAGAGAAAGAATAGGCCATAGCATATGAGATAGAATCAAATCAGATATAAATGGCGATCCAAAATCTCACCAAAAAACAAGGTACACCATGTTGCCAAGAGAAGGGATGCTTGATCAGATGCAATTTCGCTGTAAATGACTGGCCTTCTCACTATCATTATATTCGTCTATTACCATCAGATTTCCAAATCCAGCTGTCCACAACGCCCTTGGTGACCCTTTTCCCCTGCCCTGTAACAGTAGCCACATCTCAACCAAATGCAAACAAAAAAGGACAGTTGAGAGGACGCCAGAAACCCGTCCCAGCCCGTATCCGCATCTAGACATCATTCACAATCATCGTTATACAGTCCCTCATACGATAGCAGTGACCCGTCTCACGCTCCTTCTCGGCCCGTCGCCGGAAACCATGATGGCATTCTCCGCCTCGAGAGCTCGCATGGCCTCGTTGAAGTCTGCCTGCTCCACAGGCATGTTGAAGCCCTCGCTGAGCCTCCTCCCCACCTCGCTCCATCGCACTGTGTTGCCGCCGGCAGTCATTTCATCCAGCAACTTGACAAGAGCCTCCTTGATATCGGCCTGTCGCTGTCGGTCTGCAGCGCTGGTTCCTTCTGTCAGGAGACTCATGTCGATACGGCCTTGAGAGTCGGTGGCCGCGGTCTTGAGAGCGCTCTGGATGAGACGGTAGGCCTCTTGGACGTCGTCGATAGTGACCGTTTCTGAAAGGCGCATCTTGGCGTGGGCCTCAGATAGACGGATCATGCTTTCAAGCTGTCGGGTAGTGGCTGTGATACGAGTCTCCGAGGAACGGACATCTTGTCCCAGTGCTCGCATGGCGACGTAGTTCTCGACGAGCTGCACGGCAGCTTCCGACGAGATAATAGGCTGAATGTTGGACCGTGCGTAGGAAATATAGAGGGTGAGGAACTCCACAGACAAGATGTCGGCCTCGGAGGGTGCTGAGTCCGGCTTGTCTTCCAGGTACAGAGACAAGAGATGCTTTGCCAGACGCTTGTCTGTCTTCTCATCAACCCGATCAAGAATGAGATAGATCAGATCGAAACGAGACAGGAGAGTTGGTGGCAAATCGATGTTCTGAGGGACGGAAAGGTCAGGGTTGTAGCGACTGCCAATAGGGTTGGCAGATGCCAGAATACTGGTACGAGCGTTGAGGGTGGTGATGATACCAGCCTTGGCCACGGAGACTGTTTGCTGTTCCATGACTTCGTGCAGAACCGAGCGAGTCGCGTCAGACATCTTGTCGAATTCATCAATGCAGCACACACCACCGTCAGACAGTACCAGAGCTCCAGACTCCAACACGAGCTGTCGGGTCTCAGGGTCACGAGTGACATATGCCGTCAAACCAACAGCTGAGGAGCCCTTACCGCTGGTGTAGACACCACGAGGCGCGATCTTGTGAACGTACGAGAGCATTTGGGATTTCGAGGTAGATGGGTCACCGCAGAGAAGGACGTTGATGTCGCCTCTGTACTTGGGGCTTGCACCTTTTTCGAATGTTTTGTTGGCTCCACCAAAGAGCTGCAGAAGGATACCCTTCTTAACATCGTCCATTTCATAAATTGATGGAGCGAGAGAGCGGGAAAGGAGGTCGTAGATGTCTGAACGGGCAGCTGTCTCTCGGATCTTCTCCTCTTCTTCTGGTGTGATGACGCGAGTCTCCTCAAGCTTGTTGGCCCCCTTCTCTTCCTCCTGACCATCGACCATGAGTGTGCTCTGGTCCTGGCCCAGACGCCTGGCGTCCACCTTTTGAACATGGACCATGTCGACAAAGGTCTTGTGCACACTCTTCAGTGCTCGTTGGCGAGGGTTGACTCGCACAGGATTTACTCGGAAAATTCCAGTTACCTGAATACGGTCACCAGCCTTGCAGAAGTCCACCAGGTCGTTGTATGCGACAATAGAGACAGAATGGGGTGTCTGACCTGCAGGGACTGCATCGGGGGTCTCTTGAAGCTTGATGACTTGCTTGTCCTCGAAATGACATCTGTTGTGGATGATTTGCATCGAGTTCTTGGACTTGCAAAGATCTCGTGGGCATTCAGTCGGTTCGCGAATTTTGCCACGCTCAATCGAAATGGTGATTGAGTGGTTGCACACATTGCAACGGAAGAACGCCTCCTTCATGTCAGGAATGACTGGAGTGGCACGGATAACCAATCCCTTGACACAAACCAAACGATCCATATCTATAAGGAGTTCGTGATTAGCACAATCGTGGGCTCAAAATTGCAAGACCGCGACAAGTTTCTTACCAGATGGATTTAATTCTCGCATGTTAGTCGATTTATCCAGTCCGTATGGCCGAACGTAGTAAAGAGTCGAGGCAACCTGGTCCTCCAGAGACTCCGTCACTTGGGGACGGGGAGTAACAGGCTCATCAGGTCTGTCTGAGCTGGGAAATACAGGCTCAGAGCTCTGTCGGGTCTGTTGAGATGCGGTGTGTCCTGCGCTGCTCTGTGATGGCCGGTTCCTCTGATCCTCGGAATGTGCGACTTCCATCATGCAGTCCTTCAGCGCCTGATCCATGATAGGAATGATCTCATGGGGGTAGGCTTGAACCTGGTGCCACATCTTCTTCGTAGGAGGGTACAGATTCAAGTCCTTAATATTAAGGTAAAAGCGAGATTCACCCAGGAGAAGCATGTTCTCCAAGGTCTCCCAATGGATCTTGGTTTCAGCCATTGGAGATTCCCGAACCTCCCCATCCGTGAAACCATCCCCATACATGCGATACTTGAAGGTGAAGTTGCGCAGAAAATCACGGAACGACTGCAGACCGTCGGCCAGGGAGATGGTTGTACCCCACACGAGAGCTGTGTCATTGCCACCAAGATGATCGGCCTCGGACGTAGTCACGTCCCGATTTGCGAAGGAAGCCGCGTCCGACCCGGGGACTCCCGTTTCCTGGACAACACGACCGTCTTCGGCGAGAACAAGCCGGCGAGGGGGCATGCGAGGTGTTCCGACGAACTCAGAGTTGATATCACCTCGGCTGTATTTGTTTGCGCTTCGTTGGGATCCCAAGAAGAGGCCACTGCTTTCACTTCGTAGATCACTTCGTAGATCTGACTGCATTGCACGCAATGATCGTCCAGGACTAGAACTGGGATCATATCGAATTGGGGAGGAATCTGTCAGATTGTTAGCGTCGGCCTCAAAGCTTCATTGTTTCAACTTGGCAATCCACGAACCTCCCATCATCATCGCACTCGCTCTCGGTGTCCTCTGAGAGTCATCTTGAGAGTCCGTCATCTGCCTCAGGGGAGAGCTAGGAGGCATGCCATGTCGTAGTGTGCTCTGGCTGTTGCTCATCTGCCTCAATGGCGAGGAAACAATGCCTGCGCCATCTGCTGCCGGAGAAGACTGGAAGAATAGGGGACTCGACACCAAGTGCGCTGGGTTGGGAGCTGGTGTGCTGGCATCAGACTGCCCATCAGGACGCGGTGTACCCGCCTCTGAGGGCGGACCCTGTCCAGGCGACGCCATGTTGTTTGAGATATTCGAATTGTTTTTGGCTCCTGAAATATTCCGAGAGAATCGATCTTGAAAACGGGGGCCAGACCTCGGAGGGTGAATTCGTCTGGTGTTGGCAGTGAGGGACAAGGGATACCAAGGTGGGGGGAAGCTGAAGGAATTATTGTCAAAAGCGCGTAAAGGAGACGCCAAAGCCCGACGCAGACGCGTAAAGTGATTTCCCAATGAAGCGATGTGGTCCGTGCGCACGCGACAGGGAGATGGCCGGTGCCCGGCGAAAGTTTAGGCCGACGCTCAGCTCAGCACCCGCCAATTCGAATTGAGGGTGCGGTGGCATCTGGAGAGTTGGAGGGGCGCCCTGCCTCCAGTACACCTCATAGAGAATCGCCCAACGACGCAATCGCCCAGCATGTCTCGTGGAATGAGCCTGTTTTCCGTGCAAGCCGTCCTGATCCTCAGCACCGAGGACGGCTCCCGCATTTTCGCCAAATACTACGCCTCCCCTCACACAGCTCCAAATGGTATGCATACCGCTTCGTTGTGGGCTTGGCGCATGCACAGCTACTGACAGCAACCCTCCTATCTATAGCTGGCAATGTCAACGCCAACCCCTATTCCGATGTGAAGTCCCAGAAGGCGTTCGAGAAGGGGCTCATTGAGAAGACCTCAAAGCAAACGGGCGACATTATCCTCTACGACAACCGAATTGTCCTTTACAAGCTCGAGTCCGATGTCATGATCTACGTTGTCGGCAGCGTCGACGAGAATGAGATCCTCCTATACAACACAATCCTAGCTCTGAGGGACTCGCTACACCTGTTATTCAAGTATGATACTCTTCTGCCGGCTGCTACTAGTTTTGGGGCGAAACTCCCCGTATAAGAGACATGGTTTCCTAACATCGCACGCAGGCAATCCGTGGACAAGCGAACCATTGTCGAGAACTACGACCTCGTGTCGCTCGCCATCGACGAGATTGTCGACGACGGAATCATCCTGGAGACGGACCCCACCATCATCGTCCAGAGAGTAAGCAAGGCCCCAACGCAGGACGTCCAGCTCGGCCGCATCGACCTCAGCGAACAGGGCGTCAACAACCTGGCGCAACTCGGAAAGTCAAAGCTCGCCGACTGGTTGCGGCAGGGACTGTAAAGGGGCGGTTTTCCAGAGGGGGGTTCAGACTGTGGATCGCATCGCGGAGAGGATAGCGCAGGGTACTGGGAGTCTTTTCGTCTTCATTTTTAATCTTCTTTTTGTTATTTTACGCCAGGACAAAAGGGGGTTCACATATGCATGCCAGCCTGCAACGGGATTCCTTTCTAGATGAAGAGAGAGAGAGAGAAAAAAAGGGTATTATATGTCTATTTTTCGTCTTGCATGCTTCATGCTCTAATGTCCGATGCTGCCTTGCGCAGCCGGTTCATGACCGCCTCGGCGATGTCACTTTTGTCCTCTATACCTTCTACGAAGATGATGTCTGCGCCCAAAAGGTCCAGCTCCCTCAAAGCTGAGAACAGCCCCTGGGCGATCCCCCGGGTGTCCTTCCCGAGATCAATGTCAAGGACGACCCCAACAGTCTCCCCATCGTTATTAGTCAGGGCCCCTTCCAAGACACTATATGGTGTGTCTGCCTGTTTCTTATCTCCATTCTGCTTGTTCTCCCCCGCCCTGGCAAGGCGAAGCTCGCTGGTCTTAAGTCCTGCCGCTTGCTTCCACCGCTGAGTGCGCACAACACCGACTATCGGTTGTGACTTGCCGTTGGATCCCTGGCTCTGGGCGGTATACGCAGACTCAATGTCATCCAAGCTGATGCCTTCCCCTTGAGATTGATATGATGCTTCGTACAGCACAACTGTGGCCTTGGGGCTATAGTGCTTATACTTCATCCCAGGCGCTCTAGGCGCCTGGCCATTCTCGCTATGATCCTTATACCCCTTGACGACGTTCTCCCAGCCGGGACAGCTCCTCAGCTCGTCCATGCTCAAGCCGCCAGGCCGCAGTACCGCAGGCGGATCAGAGAGGCCGTCCACAACCGTGCTCTCAACACCGACCTGACACGCCCCACCGTCGAGAATAAGCTCAATCCTTCCGTCGAGATCGTGCTTGACATGTTGTGCGGTGGTGGGCGAAGGCTTGGTCGACGCATTGGCCGAGGGGGCCGCCAGGGGAACGCCGGACAGCTTGATGAGAGAAAGCGCAAGAGCCGACGACGGCATCCTCACACCAAATGTCGACAGGCCTGCGGTGACCTCGGGAGCCAGTTTCGGTTGCGACGGGTTGGGCAGCAAGATGGTCAGAGGGCCGGGCCAGAAACGCTCAATAAGTGATTTATACCTCCAAGGTATCAAATCGTCGCTCTTCTCCGCCGAGGCAGAACCGGAACCATCTTTGCCGCCTAGCAGGTCCCGCAGCATCTCCAGATCACAGACATGGCTGATAAGAGGGTTGTCGGAGGGTCTGTTCTTGGCTGTGTAGATCCCCCTGACGGAGGCGGACCTCGTAGCATCAGCGCCCAGCCCGTAGACGGTCTCTGTAGGGAAAGCCACGGGGGTATCCTTGGTGCGCAAGTATTCGCCGGCCTCCCTCAGGATCCGAGTTGCCTCGACGTTGTCCGCGTTGAGGTTCCAGCGCTCCAGGCCTGATCCCGTCTCAAAATTTCCAAAGGACTGGTTGTCCGGGACTCTCAATATTCTGGTCTCCATCTTTGTGGCTGCTGGTGGTCTCTCAACCACGGCTGTGTGAAAAGAACCAGATGCCGATGTTGTAAGTCGGCAGATGCGACGATGCGCTTTCTTTGTCGACGGTGAGTCAGAGGCCGGCAGTGAAACTGCAGGATGCGTAGTAGGTTTATCCCCGCGCCCAGGGCTTGGACTTATCAGAGAAAACGAAGAGCAAGCTCGCTTGGGGACGGGCACGAAATCTAGTACAAGATGTCGAGATCGTACTGTGGAACTACGGGATCTTGCTGCCTTGAGAAAATTCATGAAAGGGAAAAATTACACCAGTGTGCCACAGCACTAGTCACAGTCTACTAACTCACTTGCTGCCTACTATCCAAGTAGGCAGATGCATCGAGTCCCAAAAAAAAGCACTCTAATGGGTAATTCTTTGTGGGTAGAGATGTGACTCATTGGCTGCAGGTGGTTTTTTTTTTCAAAGTTGGCAATGAGGTAATCCTGTTCGTTCTTACAGGTTCAGGCGTCAAAGAGTTTAGTTCAAGTGAATTTTGCCCACCGAGGACGGCGTTGTGATGACTAAGCAACATGAAGAATCACTTACACGGAGGACATTTCCATCATCGCATCTTGGTCTCAATTGCTCGGTAATTGTTTGGGCATTAGGTCTACCTATCAGAGCTAGCTAGTCTCTGGTCGTGGCATCGTTATCGTTTCGTCTATCTGCTCATATTATTCATCGTCCCCCCTCTCAGCTTCTTCATCTTCTTCAACGAAACTCGCTGCCATTGGTACGCTCGTAGTACCAAACAGCGTTATCAGCCTGGGCGCAGCTTGTGAGTCTTCCACCGACGGTAGCGGGCAGTCTGAGGGCCTGGTGGTCTTGGATTCTCCCTAGTACGTTCATGTACCACCACATCTCATTCAAGACAGTACCACCGTTGTCCAGGGAGCCTTTGCCGGCCTCAGTCTCATTGTACTTGGGGCCACCGCAGCCAATGAAGGGGGGCTGGCCGTAGCTATCGCTCAAAACCTTCTGGATCTTGGCCACGCTGTACGAGGTCCTGTTGGAAGGCTTGATCCCGGCAGCGCTTAGCCAATCATAGGTTGGCAGAGTGCGATGGTAGCGAATGACAGTCTCGAAGAACTCGAAGAGGTCATCAAACTTGGAGTAGTTGGGACCCTGGGAGTTGGGAGTCAGTATCCAATTGGTGGAATAGGAGTATCCAAATGGAGCTGAAACTACTTACATAGCACTCGGTCTGGAAGGTGGAGAAGCAGGTGGCATGCTTGGAGTATTCATGAGCCCAGAGAACCCAGTTGGGGTCGAGCTGGGAGACCCAGTGCCTGTTCATGTATGCCAGGAGATCCGCCTTGCCGTTCGGAACAAACCACTTGTCAATGGACTCGCCCTTGTAGGGAGGCACCGGGGTGCCATCGGAGGTACCAGTCGTGGTATTGGGGGAGGGTTTAGGGTCATACTGGCGGCTGAGAGGTGAGTTAGTACTTTTTCGTTTCCGCGCGCAATTCATGGGAGATCGCGACCTACCTCAAGTCGCAGTACTGCGTATACTTGCCTGTATGCGCAAATAGTTAGCAAAAGCCTCCAGCAAACGCAGGGATTGAAGTAAGTGGGATTTAGCTACTCACCCGAACAAAAGTCAGGCCACCCGCCGTGGATCGTCCAAGCTTTTTGAGGCAGAAGCTGGCCATCTTTCTCAAGACCGGTGTAAGTGTCCCAGAACTGGGTGATAAGCTGTATTGGGTATTTAGCCTATCTGCACCATTGCGATTGCCAGGGTCACGGTACATGTAGTTCCACAAGCCATTGGCTGGGCTAGACATACCACTAGGCCACCAAAGGTCTCAGTGCAGCAGCTGTCAACCTTGGAGGCGTCGGCACCGGCAGAGCAGGACAGGATGGGGTCGACTGCGGCGACGGACGAGCTAGCAGTTAGCCTCAGGTCCCCACGATACGCATAGTTTTGCGACGGGCAGCAATTGACGTACCAAGAGCACAGGTGTGGTTGTGAGGGGTGATGCCAGGGTAGAGCCCAGCGGCCGCGAGCTTGGCGGAGGCGGCCAGAGAGAGAAGGATGGTGTTGCGGAACATGGTGATGACCTAGTTCGTTGGTGCAATTGTCTCGCTTGCTTGGCACAGTCCGGCTTGGCGATGCGCTACGATCGATCCCACGGAGGAGGCTGCGTCTGGGGAGGATTCGTTCTGGAAGCGAAGCAGAAGCAGGAAACAGAGAGCAGAGCTCGATTATTTATACCGCTCTACCTCCATGGCATGAGAGCCATAAGCAGGTCCAACGCCCGATCCTTTGACCCAATTGACGTCAAGACCGACAAAAGCACATGCCTCTTTGAGAAGGCCAGGCGATCCATCTAAGACTGTTATCGGCTGGTTCTCTCGGAGTGGCCACTGACCTTGCAGCTTCCCAGCGCGGAGAGGTCGAAGCCTCCACCAGCCCCATGCGAGCGCATGCTTCAACGTTGCATTGTGGTTGGCTCCCGGTCTGCGGGTGCCGGCGCGGCACGCGGAACTGGCCGTTGGGGTTTGGAATAGCTGCAGAGTTCCAAAGGGCCCTTTGGAAGCTCGATCCGAAATGGACTGTTGCTGGTCCACGTTTTCGCCTCTCTGCGGTGCCTCGTGCGCTGTCTGGTGCTTCCGCTAGGTCTCCTCACTCCCAAGCGGCCTTGGCTAAGTAAATTGAGGGGGCTGGGGCTTCCTAATTATCAAGTATAGCCGGATGTAGATTAGGGAGTAGGTAGTTGCATTGTTCAAGAAGCCTACCCACGAATGAATCAGGTGAGTCGCACAGAGCTCATCAAATTCTCAATGGCATCCAGGTGCTGCTGGAAGGAAGGAGCCACCCATCTCGATAGAGCTCATGCAGGTTAAGATTACACCTTGTCAGCAGCTTAGTACAGCGATACCCCAGCTGTAGTGTCCCTTGCAGCTGAGCCCTAGGTAGTCGTCCCCACAAGCTACAGCGATCTTATGGGCTTCACTTTAGCACTCTCCACGCAACACCACCTTGCACTAATAAAGTTTGATAACAACTATACTTAGAGTTATGGAATATCTTAATAGCTTACGATGTAAGTTACTAACTCTATATTTTCAGAAGTATACAAAGGGTACTCAATGGTGAGCAGAAGCGATCTTCCGCTCAGCAATTGGCAAGGTGAGAATAATACGTGCAGCAATTTCCGGTCTGGCTGAGGTTCAATCAGAAAGTGAGTTCACGACAAAATCATGCCAGCCAGCAGGGAAAACACCGTCCGTCCTCAGACTCTGAATAAACTGAAACCGGCTGTAGTCAAACTCTTGCACTGAGGTGGGATTTGCCAGCTCAAATATGCGACCTTGGTGAGGACCACAGGTGTTCTTCGGACATTCGCGCGTCCCCTCGCACGCGCTGTAGGAGGGCCAATGGGGCAGTGTGCCACGGAGATTGTCAGGCTTGTTAGGGTCGGAGCTCTTGGCGAAGTTGGTCAAGTAGGTCATGATATACATCGCCATCTTCGCGTCATCGGGCGACGGTTTGACGCCTGGTGTTGAGAGCCCGAAATCTCTAAGGGTTCCAAAGTCGTATGGCAAATCCTGACCATGTCCAGGGATTGGGTTGAACTCCGAAGTAAAGTTGAAAACATAGAGCCAACTCGGCTGGCCAGTGGTTCTCTCATGTTCATGGATCGCCTCCCAAGTCTGCTGTCGGATTACCATATCTCCAGTCCAAAGGAAAGCTGAGTCTTCGGCCTGGATGTCCGATGTGGCAGGGAAATACTTGCTCATGCCATCTCTGATCGTAGCTTCAGGAAGCCCTGACATGTTCAGCCACGAGAAGAGGCGCTCGTTGAACAAATCAGCAGTGCCATGCTCCAACGCCCGTTGCTGGAATAGAGTGTCCTCCCGGGCGTTGAATCCGGCGAGAAAAGGCACCCTCGCCTGCTTTCCGGAACTGAAAACGCTTGGGGCATACTGGGGGATGACATAGTTGTCAATGTTGGGACTAAAGGCGACAATGGCAGGATCAAAGCTGTTCCACAAGCTCGTGTTCTGGACCAAATATGCCGGCATACCTCGCAGCTCTGCAAGTGTTGCATTGGGCCGTATGGCTGAATCAGACCAGTTCAACCCTCTCTGGCGGGACTGAGCAAAGCTCTCCATGTTGCCATGCTCGGAGTCCCAGTAAGTACCGCTCGAACACATCACCTTGTCAAACAAGCCCTCGCTAAGAGGCGATGCCATGAGTATGGGAAGTGCGTGCGCTCCAGCCGACTCGCCAAAAGCCATGACATTTTTTGGATCACCGCCAAAGGCCTCGATGTTGCCTCTCACCCATCGAAAGGCTTGCATGATATCCTGAAGCCCGAAATTGCCAGAGTTCCCAACGGGATCCTCTGCATCGAGAGCGGGATGAGCCAAGTATCCAAAGTTTCCCAGGCGGTAGTTGATAGTTACAACAACGACACCCTTCAGGCACATGTGCACACCTTCGAATAGAGGGTTGAGTCCTGAATCGAAATTGAAGCCTCCGCCATGCACCCAGACCATGACAGGCAGACGCTCCGAAGCAGTCTTGGCCCGGGTCCAGACATTCAGATACAGACAATCTTCGGAGGTTGTCTCGGTAACGTTGTCACCAGCAAAGCCCCAGCAGGATGTCGTACCGACGGTTGCATTAATCGGCTGAGCCGAAGCATCAGGCGGAAGAGGAGAACGCCATCGCAAGTCACCAACCGGAGGCTTGGCATATGGAATACCCTTGAACACCGAGATTCCAGTCTCAGTGATGTTGTCGGTGATGATAGTGCCATAGGACGTCTTGGCAATCGACGTCTTAGTCGTTGGTTTGAGGCTAAACTGAGCCGTGGCAAGGTGTGCCAGCCAAACGAGGGCGGTGCAGATCTTCGAACGCATGATAGACAAAGGATGGCCCGGATCAAATCTTGGAAGAATCTTTCTGAAGGTATAATGAGAGGCATGGAATCCAGTCCGAACAACAGGAGGTTCAACATCAATTTATACTCCGATGCCTCGTATGAATGGTGGTCTTTAGGGAAACTGAACCTCATGAGGCTCGCTACTCTAGGTTTAGTGTGCGATACCCTTGCCTTCGAGGTCATAAGCAGCCTACATACTTGACGCGTCATAAGATTTCGATCAATTCATGGGAAGGATGTTAGCCATCAGTAAAGATCAATGGCCTGAACGAGTTGTATTGTAACAGCAATGTTGACCTGCTGGTTCAGACGTAGGTGGCATCTTTACTCAAACGAAATACCACCGTTTGTCTGAAGTTCCTTGAGCGGCCATTCAAGCAGCTCGCTGAACTCTCCATCCAGATCTTTTATCGCTAGATGGGCCAATGTGCCCATCGTGCCGATCAGGTAGTACAATTTCGGCGCTCGCGACATTACGGCACACCAGTACACGAAGATCACACTTGCAAGACCGCAACCGCTCTCCAGCATTTCGATGTACTCCTCAGAAACCCCTGCAGGCCAGCTAAAGAAGTGCACCCACATCTTGGGTTGGCATGAAACAAACTGAGCCCATTGCCTGAGGGACTGTGCCGTACTCTGCAAAACTAAGCTACCAGATGTGGTCGTTTCAGCGTGGCAAGCCCCCTCCAATCTGCTAATCGCCGTCATTGACTCCTGATCCGTTGGGGAGCGGTGTTGCAGGATTCTCTTCTGAAGGTTATTGGCCCGAGGGTGAGAGAACACCAAAGGATCCATCTGGCTTTTGAGTGACTGGGGGCCTCGTAAGATTCTCACTATAGAGGCGGGACTGAGACTACTGCTCGGATCACCAAATCTCTGAGAAACGAAGCTGACGTCAAAATTGAAGAAGACCGAGGTTATAATGAACTCGGCCACCGGGACCCAGTTCTCGACATTGAGATCTGTCACAGTCGAACGGAAGAGAGCGGATGCCTTGACTGCATGGAAACAGGCGGCGTGGTAGTACAGCTCGGCGTTCACGACATCAGTCCGGCATGCATGTAACCCAGAGATGGCCAAAAGTGCGTGTCGAAGAAATGGGTAAGAAGCCGAAGCATAAGCTACATGTTGGTTCCAGTTTGAATCCGAGTCAGCTGCTGGAGCAAATTCCAGGGATGTCCGGACGAGATAGTGGTCCATGAGAATTGCGCTGAGACCATCCTCAGAGGACGGGCCGTGGAGCCGGCAGAAAGGTTGTGTTTTCGAAGTCAAGGAGGCTTTTGGATAAATAGGCATTCCAAAATATAAATGCTCGCCAAAAGCTGCCCTAGAATGGCTGGTCGAGATGCCATTCGCTCCAGAGCTATCCATGCTTTGTTTGGTGTCAAGGCTGGATTGCGTAAACGAGTCGACGTCGCGAAGCTGGTAATCACACGCCTCATCCCTCTTCCAACAATTAGAGCAAACCGGCGGTCTTAGATCACACTTGAGAGAAGCAGAAGCCTCGTCTTAGCTATTCTTATCCAGTCTTGAAGTGCCCGGGTATAGTTACCTTGATATGTCTTCGTTTGCACTGACCGCACCCGTTCCGTGACTTGTGATGAAATCTCTTGGATCCAACCGATCTTCGTACCATAATTATCGAAACTACTTTTGTCATGAAAATAGCTTTGATTCTGCTTGATTGAGTTTGCCGTCGTACTCCTACAGCATTTAAATGAGGCTGCCATCTGATAACAAGACCCATGCAAGCAGGGCTTCTGACAGGGGGTTCGTACACCAAACCACGCCTGGTATGGCCCTTAATGCTTTAGCCACTTGAAGGTTGGCTTGGATAGGTGCCGCCCTGCCCCATTGAACCGCGTACCCCACAGCGACCCAGAGGGGGTTAAGGTCCCTGCCCTCAACTTATTACGCAGTGCTGAACAGCCAGACAGCGAATCCGACCACCTCACACCAGCAGCAAATCCAGCCAGATAATAATTTACTACCAGCTAAAGGTAGGAGTTGGCTAGTAGCACTATACGAGAAGACAGGCTACACTAGCGCCTTTGTGTATCCTATATACTTGAAATTGTTATCTGGCCGAATTTACTGTGTGGCCGGATTCGCTGTTCAGCACTTCGAGTGAAAGTGCCTTGCTGCGGCAGGCACTTAAACAGCGCCTGTCAACTTGCAATTTTCCCTTTCCTCTTCATGTCGCTAGGCTTCGATGGTTAGGCGTATTTTGCTTGTCCAGCATGACATTGAGGCAAGGAAGTAGGCTGAGGGTGGCTTGGAGAAAATCACTGTCAGCATAGACGCCCAATCCCGTTCTCTCATAAAAGTACATTCAAAGCGACCTGCTGATAGGTGGTGCATGCCTCTGACTGCAGGACTTTGCCGCCCAACCAGTCTGTCTAGTTTGATAATTGCGCATTTCTCACATTACCTATGTCTACTCATTTTGTGTCGTTTGCCCATCGTCAATCATCCATCCATTCGGTGCCAGTTGATGACAACTAGGATACATCCAAGATGGACCCTATTACGGCTTTCCAAGTCGCAGCTTCGGTGATAACCTTCGTTGAATTCGGTGCAGAATTAATCCACATCGTCAAGGAAGTCCGTGACTCCGCAGAAGGTGTCTCGGAGGAAAATAAATTAAGAGCCGCTGTCAATCGGTCGATGCGTCCAATATTGGATGCAATCAGCACATCAGACTCCTCTGAGATACCCGAAGATGAAAGACCTTTATATGACCTCGCTCTGGAATGCGAAAAATGCTACAAAGAGATGGAAGATTTACTGGGCCGCCTTCCAGCGAAAAGGAATGGCCGGTTCGGCAAGTGGCTATCTTCTTGCAAAGCGATCCTCAATGAGCCCGAGCTAAAAAAGTTGGAATCAAGACTTGATAAATGCCGTCTTCAAATATCAGCCCACCAAATCCAAATACAAGGGTAGGCCTAGCCTCGCGCTCTCTATATATCCAGCATCTAACATCGCTGTCCCTAGAAAACGACTCACGCAATTCTACCAAGCACTGCAAACCCAAGGGAATAATGGGTTCCAGATGGTCGAGACCATGCAAAAGCATGTTGACTCAATCAGGGCAGACATCATCCAGCTTCAGAGCAAGACGGCCCAGGACTATCTTTCACTCATTCTCGCGTGTCACGAGGAAGCCCTCGCGCCTATATGTGCCAATCGCATTCAAAAGAGGCTTCGTTTAAAAGGAGCCATTACGAGGTACTCCAGCATAGATAATCCCAAAGAAGGGACCTTCTCCTGGATTTTCAACGATACTCACAACCTTGTGACTGCTGAACATTCATCTGTGGGTTATGATACTCACGCTATTATCGGAAGATCCCGGTTTCTCAATGAAGAGGATCAAATCAGAAGGGCTCATGTGAGGGATAATTTCATAACTTGGCTTAGCTCTTCGAACGGAATATTTCATTTCACTGGAATACCGGGTGCGGGAAAGTCCACGATGATGAAGTTCATTTACGAAAATCCAGCAACGAAAGAAGAGCTCCGGAAATGGGCTGGTATGGAAATATTATGCGCTATCTGCCGATGAAACCACTGAAGCTGATCGAACTCTTACAGGAAGCAGGACATTATGTCTTGCTAAGCACTTTTTTTGGAGGCCCGGCTCGGACCTACAGCATAATCTCGCCGGCCTCTTCTACTCTCTTCTTCATGGAATCTTCGAAAGCTGTCCTGAATTAATACCAGATGCGATGCCTGCGTATTGGGAGCAGGTACATCAGGTACCAATAGTTGTTGATCCAAATTTCGAGATTTCACCCATCGCAGTCGAGAATGCTCTGCTGAAATTGCTTCGAGATCAGAATATCATCAAACATCACTGTTTTTGCTTTTTTATCGATGGTCTTGACGAGTTTCTCGGTTCTGATCAACAAGACTACACGAGCTTGGCAAATTTATTAACCAGATGGGTAGACAATTCAAATGGAAACCTCAAGATTTGTGTCTCAAGTCGAGAAGAGAATGCTTTCATGAATGCATTCCCCCAAGACCAGCGCCTCCAACTCCACCAGCTCACATGGGATGATATCTCGACCTACGTCCGTGAAGGATTGCAGGGACTTGAGGCCGGGGATTCCAAAGATGAACTGATTTACAAGATTTGCAACCGGGCTAAGGGAGTCTTTCTCTGGGTGATTCTCGTTATCAGAGATGTCCGGGAAAAGATTGAGAGCGGTGAAACCAACCCTAAAGAAATCGAAGCAAACTTATCTATCCCTGAAGGATTGGAAAATCTTGTTGGCCATATACTACACAAACTAAGCTCGGAGAAACGAAAGAAATTGTCACAGGTCGCGGCGATGCTTCGTTTGCGGCGCCAACACAAACACGAGCGGTATGGTGATTTCGACCTTGCACTACTTGCTTTTTCGTTTCTCGATGAATTTAATTCAGACCACAAGTTCGCAACCAAGAATACTTTCAATAAAAATAAAACAAATATAGATGAGAGACTTCTACTTGCCGAAAAGCAACTCCGATATTGCAGTGGTGGGTTTCTCAAAATATCCGAGCAGAAGAAGACAATCGGGTTCATCCACAGGTCCATTCCCGAAGTCCTGGACAAGGAGGAATTCAAGCGCCTGCTGGGATATGCTGGCACGACCGAAGCTATAAGGACACTATCGCACCTAACATTCGCCCAGGTTCGGGCCGGGACGTACAACAGCGAACAGGTTGCAGGTATTCTGTCTCCAGTTATGGCTATGTGCCTTAAGGCCCTTGACGAGAGCATTTATGATTTCCTGGCATACATACACACATGGTATAATGACAAGTTTCCTCTGGAAGCTCTCGAAGCTCATCTCGTTTTCTCTATACCGTTAAGTCCGCTTGCGTCACAGATGTGTCGCTGCTCGGGATACGAACCTCCAACATCTAGGCCAATCGATGACAATGAAGTCATATGTTTCAACGCTCTTTCATACGCTGCGATCTATGGAAATATTAAATTCGCCAAATTTATAGTTGAAAAGAGCCCTGGTTATTTCAACCAGCCATGGATAAGAGCGCAAGTAGTCGAGATACTGCTCTTCATTTCCGAAGTCAGACCGAACTTGTCTGCCTGGAACAGTCTTCTGGATCGTGAACTTTTGAAAGAACACGAAAACCGTCGCTTCACCATCAACAGCGTGCCGTATTCAGTAAGAAAAAAAGTCCTTCAATTGTCAGCATGCAACCTCAGCATCTGGCAGTGGTTTCTAACATATGTATTCGTCCAATATCTGGGACGAGAAATGGTTTTACGCCATTTCGAAACGGTTGAGTGGTTCCTAAGCCACGGCGCTTCTACAAATTTCGAAGCAAATATCTATTATAAAGATGTCTCCGACGGGAATACGAAAATTTGCATATACTTTGGCAACAAACATCTCTCATTTCTAATCGCAACCGATAATATTTGCCGGTGGGCAGCCCGGGATCCGAACCCCTTTAAACTCCGAGCAATATCTCTTCGAGAATGGATCACACAGGCTGCCCCTCACAATGTGGAAAAGCTCCTTGCTTTGATCGATACGAGCCCGGAACAAGATAAATATAACTTCGGCGTTATGCATTCACGGAATACTCCAATTCAGAATAGGTCAGTGCTCGCGGTATCTGAAGAGCAGAAACCCGCAATTGGACCAGAAGATGCAAGATCGGGGGGGGGGCACGTTTTGGATATCAAGCGAGGAAACCTGGCAGCGTATGTTGACTTCAAAGTCATACTAAGTATGAAATCAACTCCTTGCGACCATGGATAATTATTCTAACTGAGATTAAAGCAACATTAGCTCTTGGTCTAATCATAGCTTGGATGCCAATCGGAATATCTCACATATAATTAGAAGGGACTTATACTCTCCATGTCTTCTGCATCAAACCCAAGAGCTACTTACGGCAGAAAAATATTGCTTGGGACATTTATTTGGGATTTTAAAGTATATGGACGGGAATAAAGACTTGTATTCACACCACTTGCTATTGATGTAGTATCAGAGATCCCTAGATGATTGCCATTCATCGGATAATGAAGATTCGCATCACTTGCTGGTTCACGTTCACTAACACCGACGTAAATTCACACTACCGCTCGCAAGCATGTCTCGTTGGCATACTTGGCACATTACCAGGCGGACAGTTCAACGGCTCCATCTGCCTCAGATAGAATGTTACCAGCCAATGTAAATATGCACATCCTCCCCTCAAACACGTATTATTTTCCCTCTTGGTATACATCTATATTTATATGTATGCTTATAGGCACATAGATAATGAAGCGGCCTCACAGGTTAATGATTCTAGGCTCTATTCCCAAACTCAGTCCCTAACTAAACTCCTGGCTTTTCTCTTCTCTTCGTCAGTCAAGACCCAGTCCATACCGTCCTCACCGTCAAGCGCAACCAGCTCGTCCCACTCATCATCCTCCATATTCGCCACCATGAGCAGCTGGGTAACCTTGGCAAACGTCTCCCTGACAAGGTAGTTGCCTCGCGAGACGACGTCCACTATGCCCGTAAAGTCTCTTTCTATACGTATAGCGCCGTAGGCATTTGTTCTGCCCCCATAACTCAAGATTCGCTTTTCGAGCACCTTGGAAAGATAGCGGGCTGTGAGGTCAGACAGGCTGCTGAAGGTCCCTGGCGTCATCAGCCGCCCAACGGGCTTCATCAGTTGATCCCATCCATATTCAAATCGCCGTGGCACCTGCTCGAGTATTTCGTTCTCATCCTCTTCGCCCCCTCGCGTCAATGCAGCAATGTCATCCTCAGTTAGAGTATAGTCTGCATCCCGGAATGTATCTGCCAGCACTGGTCGTAGCCGTGGCTTGATGACCTGATTGAACAACACCTGGATTCCCTCATTCAGGAGCTCTGTTGTCTTTGCGACAAAGGATGATTGGAGAGTGTTGAGGGCGTTGGTTACGAAAGCCACATCTTTTTCGAACGGGAATGCGTTCTTCAGAGGGCCTCCACCATCTGCCCCCCCTCCCGCACCAATACGACCGCTGATGATTCTTGTCAGATACTCGTTGGCTGTGTCCAGGCTGTTGATCAGTACGATGAACTGGATAATCTTGTCCTCCGGTGGGAAGCCGCCCTGAACAACAGGCTTGGGGTAAGACTCGTCGCGCATCTTGCGCTGAATCATGCCCACAAAGTCTGAGCTAAGCACCCGCCCAATAGTAGGGACAACGGATGCAATGATGTCTCTTTGTGAGGTTGCTATCGACTTTTCCACGACGGCATTCACAATGTACATGACATCGTCCACGGCCAGGATAATATAGGGCACGTTGCTCTCAATCTGCCTGTTCATGCTCAGGCTCAGGCCGGTAGGGTATTCATCCAGCTGGAAGGCCTTTTCCACTGAGCGGCGGAAGAAGAAGGTCGTCATGACATTATATGGGGATATCAATTTGCCTGACACCTTTCGATATAGGTTTGATTTAATAAGGACCTCGGGGATGCTCAGAAGAGATTCCACAGGGAGATCGGGATCCTATAAGAAAGGTTAGTAAATGTGGTTGCTATGATCGAATCACAGGCAATTATCCTTACCTTGCACTTTCCAGCGAGGAACCGGGAAAATAGGGACCATCGGGCTAACATGACAGCAATCTCACTCAACAGACCGTCCACCTCTTTCATGTTCACGCCTTCATCTTCACTGGCCCGTGGGTTGTTCCCAACACCGATCGCTGGCGAATTCATCCTCGGCGTGCCCACTCTAGGGGGCTGTGGGAGGAAACTCTGGACCAAAAAGGAGAAGGGGTAGCTCTTCACATCCGTCAACTTCCTGTCAATGTTGCGATCGTCGCTCCACGAATCAATAATGATCCCGCCCTGGACATCAGCCTCACTCTGCAACCGCTCGATGACTCGGACCATCTTCCCACTGCCGTAGTGCCGCTCAACAAGCGCCCCGTGTCCCTCCACAATCTGCGCAATGTGCTCGAATAGTTTTGTCAAGGAATTGGCGTAGAAGAACCCGTCCTTCCGCGTCTGCCCGCCAAAGCCTTCCTTGAGTGTCGTCCGCGCCGTACCCGCAACGCCCTGACACACGTATCGCCCGTAAACGTCCAATCCTACTTCAGCCCTCCCGATAAGAGGAAACAGCTTGAAGAACCGGGTAACTTTCGTCCCGTCGCTTTGGCCCGCAGCTTTCTCGAACTCCCGCAGGAACAGCCCACACAAGCTCTCCCTGGAATCCTCCAAAGTCACCCACGGGGCATCAGGGACCTCCACGCTGGGCACTATGCTAGCCGCAAAGGCACCCTTGGTGATCTCCTCGGGGACCTTGCTGGCGCGGTCAAGGTACGTCGCCGCCGCCTCCCAATCCTGGGGCGCACCCATGGACCCCACGACTCCATGCACGCACGCCTTGAGCTCCGCCACCTGCTCCACGACCCTCAATGTATCCTCGACCCGGCTCTTCTCCAGATCCAGCTCCTTCACCTTGTCGCTGAGCCGCCCGGCCGTGTCAGCCGCCGTCGAGAGCATGTCATTACTGATCGTCCTCGTCGCTATGACCTGGGCTCCCAGCCCGGCCCGGAGGAGGTCCAGCCGGCCCAGATCACGGGTCACATCGGCCTGTGTGGCAATGAGGGAGTCGAGCTTCTTGCTTATCGCAGTCTCCTGGGCATGAAGGGCCTCGAGCGCGGCACGGATTTCCGCTTCGTTGGCGGCATTCTGGATGCTCGATGTGGACACGGATATTGTCGCGGGGACTGCGGCGGCAGGGACGTGGACGCCGTTTGGAATGGCTGACATTTAGGCTGTTTGGACGAGGAGGTGCATAGCTGCTTGGGTACTGTCGCTCTCCTCGTCGAAATCGGGCACAACAAACGATTTCCGTGCGGCCTGGGAATTTCAATTGTAATAGCAAGGTCCTGGAAGCTCCGTTGCTTTGCAAACGTGGCCCAGTACCTGCCGATAAATGTGCTACCCTATACACACAACCGTGTTAGTGGTCGAAAGCTATTGAATGGGGCTTACCTGCATTTGATCTGTCCATTTATGTCACAATATAATGACTGCTAGATGGCTGTGGATATTGAATTATTCGGATTATTACCGTTTCTAGCTCATATATGAAATGAACACAACGCGTGCGTTACGCTCACATCTGTAGTTCATACTGGCATAATGTGCACATGTCACGAAGATTGGTAGTTCGCATTTACACAAGCAACTTAGTAGGCAAACAAGTAAAAAGAAAAATTCTACCCCATGTGAATGGTGGTGTATTGTATACATCTAAATTGATAGATATTCTTGTATATGCGCCCCATTACCCATAAACAGTACCGCCAGAATGCGTATATGTAATGTAAGTGCAGATTCACACTGCCTGGCTATATCCACTGGTGAAACGCCGTTTCCCATATTTTATGTATTTTCTCAATTCATCTGCCCAAAACACGGTGCTGCAGAGGAACAGTAACCGAACAAGATCGAAGAACCCGATGGCTTCAGTCTGGAAGGTTGACTGCAGCCAAGGGAAGTAGATAACCAGGAGTTGGCAGATGATGCTGCCAGAAACAGCCCAGTTGAATAGATTGTTGGCAAAAAGCCCCATTTCACCTCGTAAAACAGATTTCGATTCAGATCGGCAGCTCAATGCGTTGAACATGTCGAAGAACACAAAGCAAGTGAAGGTCATGGTTGTGTCACGTCGGGTCACTTGGCCATCCGCTAGCATTTCGCGGCTGTAGATGAGCATAGTTCCAAGCGTGATTATTGTTGCAGAAGAGAGAACTCGTCGGATGAGTGCTTTGGTAAGCACGGGATCATTTCGCTTCCGTGGAGGTCGGTTCATCACATCAGGATCAACCTTTTCAACTCCGAGAGACTGAGCGGGTGGACCGTCCATAATAATATCTGGAAAAGTTAGAAGGGATAAATTCCATCTTCGAGGAGAATAGACGAATATGATAGACTTACTGATCCATAGAATCTGCATCGCATTCAAGGGGTTCTTGAACCCAAAGCAAGTGCAGATGAAGACCAGTGCCAAACTGGCGGCACTGGTGCTCAGTTGAAATGTTAAAAAGTTCTGAATGTTGTTGAATATACCCTTGCCCTCCTCTATAGCGTGAAGGATGGTCGAAAAGTCGTCATCTGTGAGAATCATATCTGCAGCCTCTTTGGCCACATCTGTCCCATGCCGACCCATTGAGATTCCAATATCAGCCTTCTTCAATGCCGGGGCATCGTTGACACCGTCACCAGTCATGGCGACAATGTCGCCCCGAGACTGTAGAGCTCGAATAATCTTCATCTTGTGATCGGGGTTGGTTCGTGCAAAGATGGTTGTATGCTCCATGGCTTGTGCAAGCTCCATATCGGACATTCTGTCCACCTCGTCGCCCCTCAGCACAGACTTGACCGTCCTCTGACCAGCAGAGTGTGGGCTTGGGGTAGCGATGCTCATTCCTAGCTGCTTCCCAATCGCCAGCGCGGTTGTCTCAGCGTCACCAGTGATCATGATAACTTTCACGCCTCCATGCATCAATGTCCTGATCGATTTAGCGACACCTGGTCGAGGCGGATCACTCATACCGACAAGACCAGCAAATGCAAGTCCCTTGTATGAATCTTCGTGGACGTTGTCAGTATTAGGGGAGCTACCACGTGGTCCTCCCCGAACTCGTGACGACCGAGGGGATACCGCACCGCTGGCGAATGCTAGCACACGAAGACCCTTGGCTGCCATGGTCTCAGCTGCCCTCAATGCTTCCTCACGACGCGAGGCATCAAGA